CTCCAAAAGCTCTCGTTTCCCTCTTTATACTCTGTTTTCTTGTAACAACTTCAACCGCCATGTAACAACTCCACTAATCGTCAGACACGTGTCCTTTATTAACTCCATATTCCTTCGTCACGTGCCTTCCTCCCGTTTACTATAGCAAATCCTCCCCTCCAAGAGAACCTTGACCTCAAGGTTCAAAAGCTGGAAACTGGCGTTGCAGGTCATATAAGAATTCCCACGTCGCTTCCTCTTCACCCTGATTCGTCCATTGCACTAAAACCTGCGTAGCTGCCCTGCCTTGCCTCTTTACCATCTTCCTCTCCAATATTTTCTCAGGTTGCTTTATCAACACGTCACTCAACACAGTAGGTAACTCAGTAGCAGTAGTGACATTACCCACTAAGACTTTCAACTGAGATACATGGAACACGGGATGGATCAAGGAAGTTGGTGGCAGCTCCAACTTGTAAGCAACAGCACCACACCGATCAATGATCTTGTAAGGACCAAAAAATTTTGGAGCTAGCTTGTTATTAGTACGAACAACTGCAGATTGTTGGCGATAAGGCTGGAGCTTCACGTAAACATAGTCACCAATGTTAAAGCTTCTCTCAGTCCTATGCAAATCCTCATTCTGCCTCATTCTGTGTTGAGCACGTAACAAGTGAAACTGCAGTAGCAATATCATATCCTCCCTCTCCTGCAACGATCTCGCTACAACCTCTACTTTAGATTCACCAGGCAGGTATGGAAGATGTAAAGGAGGTGGTCTTCCATAAACCGCCTCAAAGGGTGTGATCTGAATAGAAGTATGGAAAGTTGTGTTGTACCAAAACTCTGCTAATGGTAACCATTTGCTCCACAAATGAGGTCGTTCACTAGTCATGCACCTGAGATAAGTTTCCAAGCATTTATTGACCACTTCAGTTTGGCCATCACTTTGAGGGTGGTAAGCCGTAGAGTAATTCAGTGACACGCCATGTAAGGTAAACAACTCCCTCCAAAATTCACTCAAGAAGACCTTATCCCTGTCACTGACAATAGATTGAGGAAATCCATGTAACTTGTAGACATTATCCAGGAATGCTTGAGCAACAGTTGCAGCAGTATACGGGTGTTGCAGAGCGATGAAATGAGCAGCTTTGCTCAACCTATCAACCACCACAAGAATGACAGATTTACCAAAAGATTTAGGCAAACCGTCGATGAAATCCATAGAAATATCTGACCAAATAGCCGAAGGTATTGGTAATGGCTGAATGAGGCCAGGTGTTGCCACGGTTTCATGTTTACACTGCTGACATACTCTGCAACTACGAATGAAATGTTGAATATCTTTACTCATCCCCTTCCAATAAAACAAACACTTCACACGCTGATGTGTTGCATCTCGTCCTGAGTGTCCTCCACTACCAGATTCATGCAGCCACCTCAGTATAGTGTTCTTCAAGTCAATATCCGCAGCAACTACCAACTTACTCTTTCTTCTCAAAACTCCCTGAGACCAAGTATAATGCCTTTTGGCATCAGATTTTTTCTTCAATTCTTCAATAATCTCTTTCAACTGCGGATCCTTTTCATAACCCTCCTGAATCAACTTCATCAAACTACAATCCATCACCGATAAGGCCATACTCAACACTTCAGATCCCTCCACCCGAGATAGTGCATCTGCAGCCAAGTTGTCTTTACCTTGTCTGTAACAAATCTCATAGTCAAATTCAAGCAACTTAGGAAGCCATTGCTGTTGAATAGGAGTATTGAGACGTTGCTCCAGTAAGTATTTCAAGCTACGTTGATCTGTTCGTATAACAAAATGATCATGCAGAAGGTAATGCCGCCATTTCTGAACAGCGAAAACCACAGCCAAAAGTTCTTTTTCATATATAGACAGATGCACTTGCTTCCCTTTTAGATGCCTACTAATGTACGCAAGAGGGTGACCATCCTGCATTAACACTGCCCCAATGCCTCGTCCACAAGCGTCAGTCTCGACTACAAATTGTTTATTGAAGTCAGGCAGAGCTAATACTGGTGCTGAGCAAAATGCAGATTTCAACTCTTCAAAAGCAGCTTGTGCTTCCTCTGACCAGACAAATGAATCTTTCTTCGTCAATGCTGTCAGAGGACGAGCAATGCCACCAAATCCCTTAACAAAGCGTCTGTAATAACCAGCCAAACCTAAGAATCCCCTCAGTTGCTTCAAATTTTCAGGTTGTGGCCACTCTTGAACAGCTTTGGTTTTATTAGGATCTGTTGAAATGCCCTTAGCCTCAATAAAATGACCCAGATACTCCACTCTTGCTGTTGCAAATTCACATTTACTCCTCTTTGCAAACAGTTGATTACTCCTCATTACCTCAAAGACACACTTCAAGTGATGAATATGCTCCGGAACAGACTTGCTGTAGATTAAGATATCATCAAAGAAGATAAGGACAAATTTCCTTAGAAATGGTTTGAAAACCGAGTTCATCAGATGTTGGAATGTAGCAGGAGCGTTTGTTAAACCGAATGGCATCACAAGATACTCATAGTGGCCACTGTGAGTTTTAAAAGCAGTCTTGTGAATGTCACTGGTGTTCATCCGGACCTGATGATAACCTGCCCTTAGATCGATTTTAGAATACACCGAGGATCCTCCCAATTCATCCATTAGATCCTCAATTAATGGTATAGGAAAACGGTCTTTGATCGTGAGGCTGTTAAGGTTTCTATAGTCAACACATAGCCTCCATGAGTTATCCTTCTTTTTCACCAACACTACAGGAGACGCATATGGACTAGAGCTGTTCTGAATGGTCCCTGCATCAAGTAAACTCTGGACCATTTTATCAATCTCAGTCTTTTGATATAGCGCGTACCTATATGGCCTCTGGTTGACCGGGTTAGACCCCTCCAGTAAAGGAATTTTATGATCATGATCAGGTCGATGAGGAGGAAGTTCAGTCGGTTCAGCAAACAAATCATCAAAGTGTTGCAGCAACTCTTCTAACTCCGGTAACAACTTCTTCTCTTTAGTCACCTCCACAGAATAGATACTAGGATTCGAACCAGTCTCATTCTGCTGTACATAGATCATTGAAATTTGTGAAGAGCCTGCATCTATTTTCAAGTTTTTTGCTTTTACCTCTTGAACTGCACTCTCTTTAATCCCATGTAACTTCACTCTCTTCCCCATGTACTTAAACTGCATTTCCAACTCCAAAAAATCCCACGTGATAGGTCCAAGTAGAGATAACCACTGAACACCAAGTACCATATCACAGTTACCCAACGGAATCAACATAACATCCTGAGTAAAAGTAGTGTTCTGAAACCTCCATTTGAACTGATCTACTCTCCCTTTTACCGTCAACTTCCCACCATCAGCAACTGCGACCTTCGTTAGTGTAGGTGCTTTGATTTCACATCCCAGTTTTTCAGCCATTTTAGGATCCATGAAGTTGTGTGTTGAGCCTGAGTCAATAAGGATATAGAGGACCTTTTTCTCATGGACTCCACGCACCTTCATTGTCCTATAATTTTCAGTAATACCAGCCACTGCGCTAACCGAGATGTGAGCAACATCACCTGCAGTATCTACATTCTCTTCACTTGCTTCAAAAAATTCCTCGTCCTCCTCTGCTTCAAGTAAGTATAACTGAGTCTTCTTATGTTTAAGGTAATGACCCGGTGTATACTTCTCGTCACAGTAGTAACACAGCCCTTTTGCTCGCCTCTCACTCATTTCCTCATTGGAGAGAAACTTCTGTGGCTGTTTCACTGCGTCTTTTGGTCTATCACCCCCCAAAGAATTAAACTTTTTAGGTTCTCCTGGTTTCTGAAGAGGTAAAAGGCCTTTAGAAGCATTAGAGTTGTTGTTGTTTCCCTTATTATTGCTCCAATTTGTAGAAGAAGTCTTCCTAGGGTGAGCAGTCTCATATAATCTTCCCAACAACAAACACTCACGGACAGTCTGAGGTCGAAACATCCGAACGTGCATCTGCGTATCTGTATTCAATCCAGCCAAGTAGGCGCTCACCAAATAACTCTCACTCAGCTTAACGCGATTACGGATCAATTCAAACTTAGCATGATAATTGCTAATTCCGTCTGTTTCCTGTAATCTCTTAAGCTCAGCAATAGGATCATCTAAGACTTCTTCAAATCTCTCCTTCAACAACAACTTATACTGTTCCCAATCCTCTAAAACATGCGCATCAATATCAGATTGAGCTACAGACTGATGCCAAGCTGCTGCAAGTTGATCATAATGGATCGATGCTAGTCTAACACGTAATTCAGGAGGTGTGTTATCAATAGCAAAGAACTCTTCCACTTTGAACAACCAATCCTTCACACAATCACCATTAAATCGAGGAAAATCGAATCTACCCAACCTCGTCAAGCCGTTGTAATTGTATTGATTACCGTTCCTTTGTTGCCGATTCTGATACCTTTGATACAGTAAAGTCACTCTTCGATTCAAGGTTAAGATAACAAAGAATCGATCTTATTAAGCCAAGAGTATACTTGATAAGAAACAACTCAAAAGCGTTAACAAGAGAATTACACACTCAGAAATATAACAAGAAGAAAATCACACTCTTTTTCTGCTTAATTTCTCCAAAAGCTCTCGTTTCCCTCTTTATACTCTGTTTTCTTGTAACAACTTCAACCGCCATGTAACAACTCCACTAATCGTCAGACACGTGTCCTTTATTAACTCCATATTCCTTCGTCACGTGCCTTCCTNCACACTCAGAAATATAACAAGAAGAAAATCACACTCTTTTTCTGCTTAATTTCTCCAAAAGCTCTCGTTTCCCTCTTTATACTCTGTTTTCTTGTAACAACTTCAACCGCCATGTAACAACTCCACTAATCGTCAGACACGTGTCCTTTATTAACTCCATATTCCTTCGTCACGTGCCTTCCTCCCGTTTACTATAGCAGCATGCAATATCGCAGTTATCAACTTAGATACGGTTAACTCCTTTGATGTTTATACTAACTGCGATAGTCTCTTTATGGCAGGTCCATCTTTCTCCATCTTAAGCCGCAATTTCATTGAACACTGTGTCTTAGGCACCGACAACTTCCCTCGGACTCTACTCATGTACCTGTCCAACACACCTGCTTCCCTCTCCAACTACTTCCCAACGATCCTCTGCAACTCGAATCTCTTCAAAAAGACCATCATCAACAACAACTTACTCTACCTACCTTCTAACGACACTTCTAAAGAAACACCCCACCATCTTGATCCCAAAGAGTTCACGGATATGGTTGAATCAGGAGCAGCATTTGCACGAGTATCAAGCCACGATGACCCTATCCTTGATCGTATCGATCATGAGCTTCTGGGACGCACACATGGTGAGGTTGTTCCTGGTGGTTGGTGTTTGGGAGATGCTGGTGACAACAGGAGCTTGTGTTCTGTCTGGGGAGACTCGGGTATTCTTAGGCCCGGTTCTGGTTCCGAGAGGCTGGAGAGACGGGTTGTTGAGTTACTGTCAAATGATTGGTTCAGATTGCATCAATGCATAGCAGAATGATCTCATCTTTGCCACACGTTCAGTAGAGTATATAGTTTGCCACGAGGGCGATTAACAACAATGGTGTTTAAAGCTTTATGTATCTTTCACATGTAATCTTGTGAGTTTGAGTTTGTTGATTCATTGGTGAACATCTCAACCTCTCTCAGCGTTTTTGTTGTCTGTCATCTAAACTGGGATATGTATGGAGCCGGTTCAATTGATTGTTTCGTTAAGTCTTAACCGGTGTATAATCCTGGGTTTTATTCATGGTTCTAAAACTTGACGTCAGTCCTATCCGAGACGATTTTTCTAAAGTCTGATTTATACAATTTGAATCGTCTAAACTGTTTTAAATCGGCTAAAATTGGTTGAACCTGATAGAAATTATTTTAAATTATTAAATTAGGCAATAATGTTCGTATAAATCCACAAATTTGTCTAATTTTTTCTTTGTTTTGTATATCTAATTTTGATATATAATCACAATAATTTTATAATTAAACCCAAAAATAAAATATATTACATGAATTTAAAATTTATATAAAATAGATCAATAATTTGCTAATGCATATATGTGCCTAATCTCCAAATAATCACCCTAGTCACAAATCCTCTAAAAAGCATCTAATTACCACCTAGCTATTTTTTCTTAATTAAACTAACGCCAAACCAAACCGTAATTCTTATATTATAAATTTCAGAGATTTATGTGATTTACATTCAATCAATAACGGTTACGTATAACAACGAGAAACAGAACATTCACACACACACACACGCACATGCACAAGTTTTTAAAGTCTTAAGGCAAGGCTCATTTTTATGTTTTGCTTAGTACTTAAGATGAACAATGATCCTAAGCAACGACTCTGCTCCGTCCACAAAATGCTGACCCGATGGAATCAATGGCCTGACCTCAGCAAACCCACAAGCATTCTTGAACCTACCTGTTCCTCCAGTCACCGACAGATGCGACATGGCGCTTCCTATCCTATAAATCCCGTAGAAGTTAAGGTTGTCATTGTACTCTCCACCTTCAAGCATAGCTGTGAATGCCATCATCTGCGTGCTCCCATCTCCAGAGCTCGCAACATAAACTCCTTGAGCCTTACCAAGCGGCTGAGAACCCAAGTCAGGACCAGATGTGAGTATGTCATCGATGACCGTTATGGTACCAAACCCGAGACTCAGACCATCAGGACCTAGTTGAGTCTGGATCCCGTTAAGGTTCTGACCGGAGTAAGCTGTACCGGACAAGCCTGTCCCGAGAGGAACACCGTTGATACCGTTAACCGTTGGGAGGGCACCGTTTGCGTTTGGTATGGCTATACCGTTTTCTGGAGGAGTGAAACCAATCTGCTTGGCGAAAGGGACTTGACCGTTGTATATGTTCCCGAGCAGGCCTGTGATGGGCCTTGCAGTTGGGCTGCTTCCTCCGAGTATGTCGTGCATGTAGAGTTCGAAAATGGGGTCTTCAGGTGCAGGGTCAAGTGCTGCTGTGAGAATAGAAACTGTGAACAAGAAGATTGCTGTTAAAAGCAAGAATGGTGATTGTTTAATCATCATCATCATGGAACGGTTATGTGTTGGAAGAAGGATTTGGATTGATTAAAGATTGTTTGATGAATATTTGAGATGTGGGCAATGGTGTTTAAATAGAGAGGTGGTGATTGTGCAGTTGTTGTGTTTATGATCTTTGTGTAGTTGTTGAATGAGTTCTTTATATAGCTGTGTTATATCTCGAGCGTCATTAACTAGTTGTTGCTTAATTTTGGTGGTTTAGGTTGGATGATTAGGATATTTAGTCATGGTTGAGTGTTATTAAAAGGAGAATCAAATATTATTAAAATGATCTCTGACTAAAACCAATAAACATCTTTATATCCTATAATATTCTGTTTTTTTCACAAAATTTTAAATAATCAATACATAGATAAAATACAAAATGTTCTTATTACGAAAAAACTGATCTACATATCTTATATATTAAAACAGAAGTCATAACCTTGATTCATGTGTGATTTTTTTTCTTTTTTTAAATGAACTACTCTTTAGAAAGATTATCAAGATTATCAAATGTTATCTAATTTAATAAAAAAATCTTTAAATATCTTTATCTTTCTATTTGAAATACAAATGAAATAAATCTAACAAAATCTTTTTAACTTCTTAAAATTTCCGTAAATCAATGAATTTAATTTCTAATTATCATAAAATATCATGAAAAATATTATTATATTTATAAATGAAAATTTTAAATTATCTAAAATATTTCTAATTATACTTTAATTAGAATAATAATATAAACTGCCGAAAGCACTTGTTTACAAAATTTATATAGATTATGTTAGAAAGAAGTACTATTTAAAATATAAAAACATATTATATATTTATCTATCTATACTATCAAAACGAAGTTATGAGTTATTTCATGTATAGTTTTCTTATTTGGACCATTCTTTAAAATAGTTATCAAATTTTACATAATTTAATTATAATATCACCGCATATCTTTATTTTTATTTTGAAATACAAATGTTTTTGTTTAAGAAATTATAATTTATCTAGATAGCACTATATATTACTAAAACCTAAATAAAAAACTATATACTAGAGTTTGACCCACACAGATTTTTTATTTTATAAATATAAAAATTTTGATAGTATTATAAAAATTGAATATATGATTTACATTTAATGTTATATATTATATAACTCTATAATTTTGTTGTTTAATTTTATTATTCATCATTATTAATATATAGTAATTTATTTTATATATTTTAATTTATATTTTTATGATTGTTACTACTTACTAATATTTTTTTTTTTGACAACGACTTACTAATATATTGTTGCTTTGATACACAAATTATAATCTGAAATAATCAAATATATAATCTTTTTTAATATAGAATTTTAGTTATGTAATTTGCATACAATACATTTTGACATTTGTTTAGATATACTATAGATAAACATTTGTTAATGATAATTTATGTTTTCATGTTGTGTTTAAAAATGATACTTAACATCTATCATTTTAGTATTTTGTGAGAAATTATAAATAAATATATTATTATTTATTGCTAATTTCTTTATAAATTATAAATAAAAAGAAAACTCGCACGGTTGTGCGGGTCAAGATCTAGTATAACATAAATTAAAAGTATATTATTTCATATTAGTGTTAAGGTGTTATAAAATAGCAATTAGCTCAACAAGTTGATCCTTCTGGTTCTTGCTGCTTCATCTATATGTTCTAGTGCAAAGATAATACTAACAGTGTTCCATAAACAGCAATCATATCATATGCGTTGTATACAAGTTACACGCAATGCCCTAATTATTCATGCTTTTCCTATATTCACAGAACTTTCTAGAGATATATTGGGACATGAAACCAAAACTAAACTTAATTACATTCTTCGCCGACTGGAATCTGATTTAGAATTTGATGTTTTCCTTCACTTTTTCCTGCGGCCTTGTTGTGCAGTGGCTTCTCTTTGCTTTGCAGTGTTTTCTTCAATGGCTTGCTTCCAAATAATCTTCCAGTTTTCTCGAACGGCTGTGAGCTCATCTAGCTTCTGCTTCAACCGGATTAAGATGACAGGTAAAGCCCTCATGTGGTTTTCTCTCACAATCTCAGACATATCTCTACAGTATAGCCTTTCGATGCATTTGTAGAACTTCACTCCGAGATCTTCGACGCTCATCTCCTCCGCTATTACTTTCTCAGCATTCTCCACTGCACTTTCAAGAGATCCCATCATCATATCACTCTCAAACATGTCATCTTGGCATCTCTCAATTGCTTCTTCGTATTTGCTCAGTTTCTTATGTCCCGAACCACTGTTACGTTGCGTCACAGAGTACTTGTTGTTCAGTACCTTGTTTGAGACAGGAAACTGATCTTCTTCGGGGATAGTCTCATAGCTAGGTGTCACTCTCGCTAACGTTTTCTTCGGTGGTTCCGGTTTCAAGATTCTTCTCCGTTTTCCCTCCAGGCTGAACACATTCGTAGCATGTTCCAAGTCTCGCTCGTCAGAAACCCTAATCTTAGCATCTTCAAGATCTTCTTCAACGTTTTGGTGACTCTTTTCATCTTCTTGTTCTTTGTAGTACACCATCGCTTCTTCCTTGTTACGTACGCAAAGTTCAGTCTTTGGATCTTGTTCTCGAATCTCACCTTCTTCATCGCTTTGGGTCTCTCCATCTTCATCTTCTTGAGACTTTTTACCGTAGAGATAATCTGTGAAGCATCGGTGAAGAAACTCGTCGTTCTTGAACAAAAGCAGAGCAGATGCAATGAGTTGTGTCTTTTCGATTCTTCTGCGATTATAATCTATCAACAAGGAGGTGAGCGTTTTCATATCCGTCGGACTTAGTCTCTCTCTGAAGATACTCCATAACTCGAGCGCGTTCTTATTCACCATTTCTTTGAATCTTATTTTCTTCCTTGATACGCACGCGACTATCTTTACTAAAAATGAACTGCAATTCGTACCACAACACACATATCCTAATTTATGCAATAGAAAGTCGGTTAAAAAGCAAAAGATCTAGTGACGTGAAAGTTTTTTCTTTCAAAACTTGATTGCAACCAAACGCAAGATATAGTGTACTCGATTAGTCCTTATTACATACAGTTTGACTACTCGTAACCTATATGTGGAAAGGTTTCTTCTCTTTTTGTTGTGTAGTGAGCATATATAACATCTTTCTTACTGGGCATCAATTCATTGACAATATAATTAAGTAATATGCACCTACCTATACATATACTATATACTATATAAATATATGATACTTTAACTCATGTCACTTTCTAGTCATACACGGTCAAGGATGTGTCATTAACTTTTCTATGATGTAGTTACAATATATATTGTTGAAATGTTGTTGTACTACCCCCCTCAAGTATGCAACATCAAGTTTTTGGAATTTTTGAATATAATTCAATAATCCCAAATTGATTATAGATTTCTCAAATATATCAGAGTTTCCCCTCTTAATTATTACCTATATAATCATATTTGTTAATTTAGTTTATATTTTTTGATGAAAAAAAAAGTTAAAAAGGTAAGTTTCTGTAAATTAAAGACACTATTATACCAATAGAATATTTCTCTGCTAATCTCGAGTATAGTAAAACCTCTATAAATTAATAATGTTGAGATTTTAAAATTTTATTAATTTATATAGATAATAATTTACAAAAGTTTTCTTATTTAAATTATTTTCTATTTTTTTATTTTATTTATAAAATAAAAAATATTTGCTTTTAATCTATATTTAAAAATTTAGAAATTTGACTTTTATATGTTCTTTTTATCTTATTTAGTGTATATTTTTATGTTTCATTGAATTGTTACATGGTTTGCGATATAATTTAACTAAAATTATCAAAATATATTGAAATGTTAAAATAATAAAAGTATTGTTATTGTAAATATAAACCAAAAATATAATTTTAGATTGTACTTATATAAAATTATTGTAATTAATGATAAATTATTAATTAATGATTTTAATAGGACTATATATTTATATGACAAAATTTAAAAATATTATTATCTTATCTTATTATTTTATCAATTTGTGTTATATTTTACATTGGTCCAAATTAGAATAATTTCCATTCATTTCCCGCAATATATGGTAATTTTGTATGTAAATAATCCATTGCTGAAAAGAATCGCCAACATCGTAAGGAATCATCACGGTCTGAGGTAGAGTGCTACGAATACCCAACCCATCACATAAGAGATGGTCGCCTACACACTTTTATTTAATGAATGTGAAATTTGTTCAGTTAAAAGCTTCATTTACATCAATGCTACTATTTTAGAAAAGGGATTGTGGATAGGAGAGAAGAATTAACTTAGTGTTGAATCAAAGAATTTGCTTCTGTGAGACTTGCATCCTTGTTCCCAGCCACGTGATTAGACCTTGCATCTTTTATTCTCCCATTTCTTGTAGCATACTCAACCTGTTCCTAACCGCCTTGTCAATGAGTTTACCAAGTCGGATCTCATCGTCTACTAGCACTCCATGTCCTCGCGAGTTCCTCTCCCTCAGAGACTATGTACGATTGCTAGAAACACATACCTCAGCAGGTACATACATACTTATTCTGTCTAGATTTTTTTCTCAGAAAAAAAAAGAAGCTGTGGGTAATAAGTGTATTCTAGTCAGTGGTGTACGCACTGATCTTGTAGCAGCCCTTGTGGTAGCGCATTCCAAACCTTCGCCGACTAGGATCAGGTAAAGAATAGATGTTGTCAACTTTCCTGAGCCATTTACAGAGGACGCAAGTAGCACTGACATTACTATACCATTGGAGCATTCTATCACATGTGGCAAGCTTGTTTTGTAGAGCCACCCATACTAGAAATGAGTAAATGCTCTCTAAATATTATTTGTTTAATACTTTCATATTAAGTTGTTGGTAGAATATTTTATATTTATGATATATAAAAAATTAAAATAATTTAATCTAATTAATTATTTTTTTGTGAATTTTGTAAAAAGAATAATATTTTACATTTAAAATATAATTAAATATAGATATTTTTAAAAAATTAAATTTCTCTATTTTTTTAAAAAATATATATTTATACCCTTGTCATAATTTGTTTTTTTGGATAAAGCATAACTTGATTTTCCGTTTCTTCAGATAATATTATGGGTCCCAGCGGTGGTAGCTACGAAATCCGTTATTGGTTAGCCATTTTCGTTAAAAAATTTCGAGTCCAATAGACTTTTGCTGTGGATTTATTAATAGTATTCAATGTTAATCTAAAGTTATAGTAAAAAATTTTTTTTAACATGAAACATATGTACAAAGTAAATTATATTTTGATAAGTGATGGTCTAATAAATCAGATAAAACTATTTAATAAAAATACAGTAACTTTCTCTAACCACACAATAAATTAATTATAAATAAGAAAGCCATTATTAAAAATATTCTAAATTTAATAACTAAATTTTATTTTAGAAAAACTAATAAGTTATTGGGACAATATTGTTTATTTAGTCCTTAAATATAATTGTATATAAATATTCAGTCATAAATTTATTTAAATATTGATAATTAATATGATGTTTTGACTCTCATTTTAAAACAAATATGTTCCTATTGTAGTCGATATAAACTTATAAACTTTAGAAAGACTAATAAAAAAAATTAAAAATAATGACTAAAATAGTATATTGTCACAAAATATATTTGACAACAAAAAAAAATAAGTTAAAAAAAAAACTAGCATCAAAAGTTAAGTTAAATGAATATAATATGCCTCATAACTAAAAATTTTCTAAGAAAACAAAAATCATTATTATACACATCTTTTGCAAATGCAAATTGAAAATACAAACTATAAAATCATACAAAAATAAGAAGCTAGATAACAAGTAAAGTATACCCCACCCGTAGGACGGGTCTTTCCTAGTATATATATATATATATATTTAATTAAATACATATATTAAGATGAAATAAATGTTGGAACACGTTTTTGACGAAATGGTTTTAGACCATTTATTGATAAGTTTCGAAGATGTTCGTCAGAATAACCGAATGTTTGACACTATGAAATAGTGTAATCATATGTCAAAAAACGAAATTCGTTTGAATGAGAAATGAAAGTCTACTGTGGATTATTTGTAAAATATATCACATTAGAAATATGAGGTTTAATTCCTCATTTATTTAAAGTGGAGAAAATACATTAAAGTTTAAGACTTTGATTGTATAAAAAAAAGATATTTGGACCATACATAAGTTTCATGTGTTTGAAATTTAGTAAGTGAGTCAACATAATAAAATAATTTATTTTTTTATATTGAAATGGTCAACATGAGTTATGGAATGAATGCAAAGTTAATTTTGTATATTTGTAACATCTCCATGAAGGCACGTCCATGTTGTAATGAAAAAATAATTCTCAATCTCCACATTGAATACTATCGTTTTGGTCGGAGGCAAGCGTAGGGTTTCGTCAGATAATAGTCACTGCTCTTCTCATTATGATACACACAACAACGAAAGAAAAATTCACATTCCCTCATATGAATATTATAGAGTTTATTTTCTTTTTGAGTCTGAGAATACATCACAAAACTAGATTCGTTAGGTTTCTGATAGAGTGACGCACATCAGAAGATTTGTGCAGTTGTATCCTGGGAATCTGAGCGCTATTAAACCGTCGCACTATGAGGCGTTTAAAGACTTAAGAAAAGAGCTCTACAATTTCTCATTATTTATTTGTTTCGATATTGTAATTTTGATTTAAGTTCTTATTATTTTACAAATATCAGTAGTTGTTTCCATTGTAGTAAAATAAGGTTTCAACAACAAAAAGTTTACATTGCTTAATTGTGTTATCAATGTAAACTTGAGACAAAAAAAAAAAACTTTGTTCGAATGGTTCTACGATAACGTGTTTTATGGTGGTATGTCGTCATGTTAGACGAGCAACATGGATGTTTTAAATTGTTTTTAGGGAAATTGGGCTCTTTAGCCATATATAAATTTTTAATTGGGCCAGTAGCTACAAACCCTAACGGAAAGCCTCACCCCGTTACTTTTATATATTATTACAATATTCTCCCCCAAAACAACCGTTTTCACCGGCTCAAATTGTTAAAAAAAAATTTCTTAAATTTTCAACTGGTTAAACCTCCTACATCGTGTCTTAACCCTCTCCACCAATTGTTTCACGAATCCCACTTCCTTCTCTGCAGGCGAACCGTCTCCCGACATCGAAAACCCAACCACTTCATCCCTAGAAAGCTTTCATTTTCTTCTCCCCCAAAATCACAGCAACTCTGCCCATCGTCGTCCTCGGCCGTTCCGTAAATCGTGTTTTACTCACTCCCAATCGTCTTCTTCTCTCCCAAAGTTGTCGTCTCCGTCGGTGTCCTCACCTTCCCCATCTCCTCCGGTACTTCAATTGAAGCTTCCTCCGGTACTTCTGTGTCCACTCCGCATCCTCAAAATGTAAGTTATCTCCCCTTTTGTTCGGAATCCTCATAATGTCAACTCTTTTCCTAATTTGTAGTCCGAATTGATGTGTTCTCCTTTTCTTAAATCTAAATCCATCATCATGAATTTGCGGCGTTGTTACTCATCATCTCGTCTAATTTTAAAACTGTAACAAACCTTTGAATTCAAGCTTTAGTATCATGTTCGTCCTTCTCCCCTGTCTTGCCAATTGCATGTAAATTCTATAGTTTTCAAAACTAGATCCATACGTTTTTGGTCCATTCCAATCACAATGGAATAGAAAATCCAGATTTGGGATGTTTTCTATGTTATTTAGGGTTTCATCTACACTTGCGCATTCCATTCCATTTGATGTGGAGTTTACATCAAAAGCTGGGTTTCGATTTCCGTTTTCTGGTTTAGATTTTCGTTAAGGGTTAACTT